TCTCTCTAGTAGTTTGGAATAGCGGAACGCTGGTTTGATATACTGTTTTTGGTATTCAATGTTTCTAGGGAGTACCTTATCAAGCTCTACCAAAGCGTGATAAGCCGAGGCGAGTAGAGGTTTATTTCTCAAGTTGGATTATTAAAGCAGGTATGTCCACTTAAATTGCTTGACAGCTTGCTAATTTCCCTTACCAGATTGTGTCATGTTTGATTCTAAGCGGAGTACCGAAAATGCAGTTGAATCCAGAAAGAGGGATGGGCAGTTATCAGCTTGTGAAGTCTCCCTTGTCCACTATGAAGACATGGGAATCCCAAAAGATGTAGCAAAGTTAGGAGTCCGTCATGGCATGTGGGGAGCCGTAAAGAAGCTAAACTCCGGCTTAAGGGCATACCAAAGCGCTAGAAAACCTGGGACGTCTCTTTCACGGAGTGCGCAGATGGCAAGTATCACCACAAAACTGAACATGGATTTGGTGGAAACATCTGGAGCAGAGGAAGAAGAGAGAGGACGTGCAGTGGAGAATGCGAGGAAACAGAAGGATCAGGTCAGTGTAGATTGGAAATGGATTGTTGTAGGAGGAGTGGCTTTGGCTTGTGGGCTTCATTCTAGTGCTATAGGCAAGGCGTTAATGGTTGGAGCTGGGCACAGACTTGCTCGTAGGTGAGATCTTTTACCTGAGAGAATCATAATCTTATCTGTTTCACTGGAGAATTCTTAGACCAACACAGAAACACAATATTATTGATATGGACTGTGTTCGCAAACCATGCAGAGTAGTTTTGAAGTAAGGGCTGAAATTTGGTTGTAATACGGTTTAAGACTCTGGAGCTTATTGAACGGTTTTAGTAAAGATACAATCTAGCTTTCAATTTTCTTTCCATGGAGGTGTATTTCATCTGGAGAAATTATTTAAAGATCTATTTTACAATTTTTACTAACCTTGATACCATAGCTACTAAAAGCTTAAAGCTAAAGTTGCAGCGGTCTTTTACGTTTATCTTCAATTAGCTCTGATGCTGCAGATGAACTTTCTCACTCGGTAAATCTTCTGGTTTTGTATGAAGATCCTCTGCGTAAAGTACCGAATCATCACCAAATCCGGTTTCCGATTCATTTGAATCCCAATCTTCATCATCTGTTTCAGATAGTTCCCCTTCTGCTAGAATCTCACCATCATCTCCTACTGCATATGTCTCTGGAAATGCATCATCTTCTTCTTCCTACAGAATAGCAGCAAGCCGTGTGAGACCTTAAACACAGATTCTGTGATAACCGAAAACCATTAAAAAAAAAGAGTGATTCGAGGTGCTTACGTCTGTCTCCTCATCGCTAGAAGCATAAGCCATATCAAGCTTGTTGTATAACTCTTCATCACCTTTGTCTGTTACCTTCTCCATTTGTTCCTGATACAATGATTGCAGGTTCTCGAGTTAGTCTACCATTGCTGAACAAACTACATTCTTTGGTTTATCAGTGAATGCATGATACAGTATAATTAGACAAAAGCCAATGTACAATGAGTTAGATCCATTACAATTTCAGCTCTCAGCTGTTCTGCTTTCGCCTGCATCGTAGAAATGTGCTTCAGAAGACCCTGTTTAATGCAAACGGAATACGGATCAGCTAATGAGTTCCAAATAAGAAAGCAAATGATGGTTTTATATCAATGAACCTCGCGTCTTTGGAGCTCAATGGAACGCGCTAAAGCCTTCCTCTTTGTCAAAAGATTTTTCGGCCTCAACATGGTAGGACGCTTATAGTCTTTTCCTCTGTACACGATAATGGCATATCCTTTGGTAACCTTGTCAATAGAAACCAGGATACCACCACTCTCGGCTTCAAGGGCTAATGCCACTTTCTTTACACCGTCAAAAGTTTTAGCCTTCACAATAATTTTGACCAACTCTCTGTATTTCCAGTGCAAGTGCATGTTCTCCACCGTACCATCAAACACTCCTCGCCTACCTGAAGCAACATTTTCACGTTTCTTTTACGAGTCTAAGCATATATAGGACACACTCTACTACACTCATCTGTTATTGATAATTTACCTAGAAGTAAGAAAGCTTTCATTTTCAAGCCAAGCTTGCGGAACATAAATCTCTCTTCATCAGTTATGCTGTCTGGGTCTTCTCTCTGCTCTGCAGGCTTAAGACACTCTTCCACCTTAGCCAAACCACGTTCAGCTTTCAACAGCTTTCTCTCAGCCTATAGCAGAAGAACCAATCCCATTAATTTAAAGAACAACTCATTAACACATGATATGTGAATCTAACTCACATGTAGGAGAAAAGAAACAAGAGGCAAGTCCAGAACTCACAAAAGCAAGTTTCCTTTCGAGCTTCCTGACAAGATTTTCATGCCTCAATATCTCAACCTCTTGTTTCACTTCGTCGGAATGATCATCATCGTCCAGATTTTTTCCCCACTTACCAGTCGCATCAAGAGTTTCACCAAGAGTACCAGCAGAAACAAGTTTTTTCGGAGGTTCAATACATGGGACAATCAGAGCCGATGAACCTCTCAAACGTGCCTGTTCTTCTTCGTCTTGCAAAGTCCTAACAAACCTCTCCTGCTCCACCAATGCGTCAGCTACTTCTCGTGACAAAAAATTCTTTCCTCTGTAGAAAACCAAGAAGTCTTTATTCCTAGAGAGCAGTATACCTCCTGTCAGTTTCTGCAGTTACTTACCAAAAACATGATATCAAATATACAGCTACAAAATCCAGATTAAAGACAAAAGAAGCATAAATGTATACACAGGACAGAACAAGAGATGCTTAAAGACCAAAAGTTGAGAAAATAGATAGACATTCTATAATCTTTATATGACTGGATCAGTTCAAAAAAATTTCAGCTCTCTTTCTCATTTTCCCAGAAAGTGAGGATAATAGAATTTTCTCTCCAATCAGCAAGTCAACATAAACTTGCCTATAACGATTAGAAGGATACACAAAAGGTATTTCAACGTTAACCAGCCAAGAGTCCTTATTACCTTGAGATCTTCAGCCATTCTCTCACTGGTAGTTGATTGCACGCCACGTTTAATAGCAATCTTTGCAAGCATACTCTTTTCCCATAACCTGACCATTGCTGTCGCCAAGCCTTGGAGCTGCCTACTTCGACCTGGAAATCAAAAGAAACTTCTACTCTTCAAATACTCTTTCAGACTCCCAACGAGTTGAATTTTTTTTTAAGAAATCTCATACCTAAAGCAAAGTGTGGAGGAATAGATCTGGCAAGTCTTCTCAAAGCTGTTGCCTCCTTTGGTCCCAGAGATGATCTTACTCCATAAGGAAGTACCCTGAAAGGCGGTTCATAACCAGGAATGGCGCCTGGAAGCAAATCAGCATCTACAGGTAATGGGTTATCTCCCGGCCAGTCCATGAACCTAGGACCAAGACCATCTAACAGTTCATCAATTTCATCTTCATATTCTACATCTGGTTGAGATGTCTGGTCTTTCTTTTCCACACTAGTTGTCACCTGCTCTAACTGAGGAAGATGAACTTTTCCATCACTATTATCCACCATAGTTGTCGTTTCAGGTAAGGAAGAAGGCGGCGTCTCCTCTCTTCTTTGCTTGTTCCATTTTCCTGATGGAAGCTCATAACTGACACCTCTGTACAAAGAGATGGAAGTCCCGGACCTCCAAATCACTAAACCACCAGTTTTTTTCTACCATAGAGAGGAAAAGAAAAGTACGTTTTAACAAGATAAAGGAGAAGACATTGGACAAAATCTGACAAACTTATGCTTTCATATTGAACATTAGACTTAAATTGTGTGTTTATGATCTTTGCAGACGAAAGACAAGCCTTATGCAACCAAATACAGTTATTGGGGGGGTCATAAGAAGCAAACCTCTAATATCTCATGCATCTTTCTCATGTTAAGCGCGCTTGCTCCTTCAATCTTCAATCTCACAATCTCTGCGCTTTTCCACTTCTCCTTAATAGCATCCACTGCCACCTGAGTCACACCTGCACCCCGAATCCTCATCTTACTCGCTGTTCGAAACGTCAAATTCCTCAACCTCCTTAGCTCTGATTCCGGAAGAGTCATTTCCGCAAGCGAGTATCTATTCTCCTTCTTCGCAGTCCACTCTGCTTCCAACTCCTTCTTCTCCTTGGCACTCATCTTCTCCCAAGGAAACCCAACTTCTCCATTACTTCCAAACACATCATCTCTACCAAGTAACGATTCCTCAGTGAATCCTCCTCTAGTATTCGGTAAATTCCCTTCTTCAACATAAAATATATCCTCCACCGACCCTTTCTCAATCCTTCTCTCTTGTTCAATCTCCTTATTCTGAACCTCCTCACCCTTCTCCATATATCCATACTTCTTCAATTTCTCCACAATCTTCTCCATTGTACTACCTTCACCATCTCTACTTCTATTATCATCACCACTCACAATCCCTCCTTCTTTTCGATAATTCACAACTACCTTTGGAGGTTTAGGTTGATTACGTTTCTGAATTCTATTCCAATTCTCTAACCACTCACCATTATTACCATCCCTACTAAAGCTAAACCTCCTCGATGGAATTTGATAATTTCTCGAACTAAAGACAACACCTTTACAAGACCCAATTGAAATTGATGAACTATACCTTATGAAACGGGAGCAGAAGGAGCTTTGAAACGAGTAGACAAACTTCTTCGTGACAGTAGTTGGGTAAAAATGGAGACTGGGTTTCATCGCCATTGATGGGTTTATTCACAGAGAAATGTTTCTGTAATCCAATCCATAAAAAACGAAACTTTCAATAAAAATTTCAGCTTTTAGTAGTTTCCTTGCCCTCACGAAGCTCTGTGTTTATCCATGGCGGGCAAAAGAAGAGTGGAGAGATAACTAGATCCTTGTTTGGATACAGATCTTTCGTTAACCTTAACTTAAACCAAACAGAGCACAAAACCGGCGCATATTATCACATATAACTTAAACTGGCTAAAATGAGCTGTTATTTAAATGGTACAAAAACGATACCGTTTTTGAATCCTCAAAAGCAAGCAAATCAAATATATAAAGAGTTTTCCATATTTGGGTCTCAGCAATAATTAAATAAAGAAAGATGCTAAAACTAGCAAGTCTTTAAAAGGAAACTTATTCTGCAAGAAATGAGTTTAAAGAGAAGAAGAAAAGTTTAAAGTTCTGAGAAGAATTATTCAGAGTCAGAGCCAGAGCCAAAGCCAGAGCCAGAGCCAGAGCCAGAGCCAGAGGCGTCAGATTTGAAGCTGTAATGGAGATTCATGAGGAAATCAGCAGCGGAGCTTCCGACCATGGCGCTTCGTCGCTCAGGCAATGGAGTAGTTTGGACCCACCAATCCACCAAGCTATGTAGCGTCAGTGACGAACACAATGGCTCATTCCTTAGCCATACCTCCACCTGCAAAAGGACATCAAAAATATTAGAGTTAAAAGACGAGAGAAAGAGAGAAAGACAAAGATAGAGAGAGTAGTTTAGTTTACTTGGTCTTCGCTTTCGAGACCGAGCTTCACCATTAGATACTTCTTGAGATATGAGACAGTCATGTTTCTATCTCTGTGAATATAAAAACAAATCAAAGAATCAAGATCACATATTCTACAGCAACAAAAAAAAAAGCGAATTGAGATTATAGTTGAAACTTAATTAGTACTTACTTCACTCTTATGCAGCGAGCGTTGATCGGTGGAAGTAGCATTTCAATGTTCCTGAAAACCGAAAAAACCGAGTCGTAAAACGCTTCAAATATAAACAGAATCATAGGTTAAAAGATATGAAAAAGAAGATAGAAAAATGGTTTAGTACTGAGTCTTGGAAGGCATTAACGAAAACCAAACTGCATTGGTGTTACGTCCTTCAACTTTCTTTTCCTCTTCCACGGTAACCGCAACTTCTGGTGTAGTATTATTAGCTGCTGAATTAATCGTCCTCCCGTCTTTTCGGGGTCTCAAAGAATAACTCTTTTCCACCGGTTTCTTCCCTTTCTTCCTCCTTGATCTGGAGGTAGCACCATTGCTCTTCAGTTTCTGACCAGAGTTGTCCTCTGTATCCCTATCAGAGCTAATAAGGACAGTTTTTTTATTCACTTGAATAGGGACTTCCTCTGTTTCCCTATTCACGACACACTTGTTGTGAATAGGTTCAACAGATTCCTCTGTATCGCCATCCGAACTTAACACTGGCTCAACGATAACAGGAGGAGTATCGTTGATGTTTAGTGGCGCTACTTCCTTAGCATCCAAGGACTTACAAAGATCGTTCTCCTTTGGTATGAATTCTTGACATGTCGATCCTTCAGCTTCATCCTATGATGCATAAACATTAGTTGGAAACAGATAGTTAACAAAAGAGAACAATAACTAAACACAGATTCTATATACTGACCAATCCATTGTCTTCAGGTTCGTTGTTCAGATCAAAGAAATTCTTAATTTCAGGCTCCTTAGGAGGCAGTTCGGGTTCCGGTTTCGAATCAAACTTCTTGGGGAGTGAAGATTTTCTTCCACGTTTCTTGAATGTGATTATCGGTTTACGAGAGCTTTGAAGAGCTTGTACGGTCTCCCTATGCTTCTCCTCCACAACCACAATGGGTGGCTCCACAACCACAATGGGTGGTTTCAATGGAGTATCAGGTGAGGATGATACTCTAGATGAAGAGACCACTGGTGAAGTTAGAGATTTTCCCTTCTTTTTCGAAGATTTCACAGAGGCTGCCTTAACCCTTTCCGTCTTTGCCCGGTCGACTTTCAGCTTCAAACTTTGCCAACTGTAATCCGACCTGCACTTATATAGATACCTCAAATCACATAAAGATAGATGCAAATGCTAAGAAGTAAGCAAGCGAGAATGTATACAATTTAAGAATATGAAAAAGATACAATACCGAAGTTTATGTAGAGGAAAAACACCGAGGTTAACGTTGCAGACTGGACAAGCTTTCACTCTCTCATTTATGAACTTGTTACGAATGCAGCTCCTGCAAACTGTTACCACAAATTGTACAAGTCCCAATTCATATATAGACACAAGATATGACAATACTTAAGCCAGGACTAGAAACATAACAAGCCAGAGAAACAACATATGAATACAACAAATGAATTGGAGACAAAACAACTTTGAAATCACAAAAACATTAACACAAACTGAATCATCCACTTACAAAAAACAGTCCTTAACTTCAAAACAGTACACTGATATATGTTGAAACACATACAACACCAAAAAGCTAAACAAAACATTGGTTTCAAGTGTCAGAATCAATCTGTTATAGTCATTAATCTACACCAATTAATATATCCAACAAAGCAACACAAAGACAACAACAACAGAGAGATAGGCACAAACAAAAATCAGAACCTAAACGATATAATTCCATAAAATCATAAGGAAAAAATCGAAGGGTCATCGTTACTTACATGTGTGAAGACACTCGGAGATTGTGGTGGCATCCTTAAACCGATTGTTGCAGAGCGGACAAGCAAATTTTGGCTCAACCACTTTCGTCTCCACCTTTGTTAGCATCTTTCTCTCCGATTCCAAAACACAACAAATCGATAAGATTTTATTGATTATATAGCTTCGTTCACGTAACGCAGCATGGTGCATGTACGAATAACACAAACCCACAAAAAAAAAGTGTCTAGCTTTATTGGTGTTTTCTCAGAGAGAATCGAATGGGAGGTTTTGGTCTCTCACAGCTCTTAAGTTTCGCTCTCTCTGTCTCTCTCAGAGAAAAAAAATTGTGTAAGAAAAGGTTTTGATTTGGAAGTGAATTGCTTTTAAGTATTTTTCGAAAGGGTTTGTTTTGAAACTTTGGTATAATTAGAGGCTCAAAGTGAAAAGTTTAAGATTTCAGTGGCTCACCAAAAAATATATTATAATTCTTTTGCCAATGATTATTTGAGTTATGCATTAGCTCTAATTTATATTTAACAATTTATTGCAAAGTTTTTCAAATATATAGTTATATATTTGTTCATAAAAAAATATTTTATATTTATTTTTCAAGCTATCTATTTTTCTTTTTGTTAACTTATAATCCTTATATTTTGGCGTTACTAATTTGTACACCATTTTTTACGTCAGCAATTACGTATTTAACAAATAAAGATTTAGATTTTTTAGCTATTTAAGGAAAATTGAATTAAATGCGTATCTCTGACTTAAAATCTCTAAATATTTTGTAAATTTCTATGTATATGTTGTTCAATATCAGGAAAAATATCTACATGTAGTTACGTGCCAAAAACTTTTAATCTTTCTAAACAATTTACGCCATTTCTTTACGTCAGCAATTACGTATTTAATAAATGAAAATTTAGATTTTTAACTATTTAAGTAATTTTGAATTAAATGTGTATCTCTGACTTAAAATCTCTATTTATTTTGTAAATTTCTATGTAGGTTTTGTTCAATATCGTGAAAAATATATGCTTGTAGTTTACGTGTCAAAAACTTTTAATCTTTCTAAAAAATTTCCAAGTATATACATTTAATATTTACTTTGACCACACCAAATTTGGTATTATGCCAGATATACAGTTGAGTTAGATATTTTTTTTAAATAATGATATTTGTGTAAAAAGTATCCCATAATTATTATTTGACAAGTTAAAGAACGTTCACAACTTATGTATCGTTACAAAAACAGTTTAGAAAATATTATAAAAATTTAGTATTTTGAGAGGGTTGGTTTGAGACTTTGTATAAATAGAAAGCTTAACATGAAATTGTTAAAATTTGGGGCCTCAACAGTAATATATATATATATATATATATATATATATATATATATATATATATATATATATATATATATATATCTTTGTGCATGGTAATTATAGTGATGCATAGATTTAATTTATCCTCAAAAACTAATTGCAATATTATTCAAATATAGAGTTATTAATTTTGTCATAAGAACATGACATTGTATAAAATTTGTATATTTATTTTTCAAGCTCTTTAATTTCTTTTTATTAACTTTTCATCCTAATAGTTTGGCATTACTAAATTGTAAGGCAATTACACTTTTTTTTTTACGTCAGCACTTACGCATTCACAATATAAAAATTTAGAATTTTACTTTAAGTAAATTGAGTTAAATTTGTATTTCTGACTTAAAATCTCTGAATACGGTATAATTTTCTATGTATGTTTGTTCAATATCAGGAAGAATATCTGCATGTAATATATGTGTCAAAATTCCAAATCTTTCTAAACAATTTCATGTATATACATTGAATTTCATCTTGGACCACACCAAATTCGTATATTATGCAAGATATTTTGTTTAATTATATATTTTCTAAAATGATGCTACATGTGTAAAAATTATCTCATATATTATTTGACGAGTTGGAGTATTTATAAATTTTCCTACTTGTCGTTACAAGAAAAGTTTTAGAAAGTTTTTTTTAAGTAGAATAAATGTTTAAGCTACTTTTAGTGTTTTGAAATGTGTATGCAAGAACAATGTCTCTCGGAAAATAATTTTGAATTTCTTTTATGAAGTTTTTGATGAGGTATTTATAGAATTTACATTAGCCCTGTCTAAATTCATATCAAATGTATCAATTATTATAGACAAAACATTGGTATATAAAGAAAACCTACGTGAAAATATGAATCCTTCTTGTGAAGTGTTTGATGAGATATTTTATGTCTGAAATCTAAATTATCCTTATAACAAAGATATTTGCATGCAGATTTTCAAAAAAGAAAAACATTTTCACTTACTTTTGTTCTTACTTCGTTTTATTTTATTTTTTTTTACCATATTCCATTCGTTTTATTTTCTTAAGTGTAAAATACTAGAAATCAAATCGTACAATAGATAAAAGGGCCTTCCTAGAAAGTAGTATATAAACGAACCTCTATAGATGTAAACTAGGCCTTCCATATTATGGGCTCATAAGGCTTTTGGGTCTGTACAAGTTTGGATTTTATTTGTTTTGGAATTTGTAAAGTGTCTCTTAGACATTGCAAGAATTCAATGGTCATACTTTTTTTTTTTTTTTGAATAACCGCGGGTTTCCCAAAGGCTTCCTAGGCCCAAAGATTAGAGCTGGCAATTCCACTATGTAAACCTGCCAGTGGCCGTGCCTCGAACCCTGGTGGCGGAAGTCACAGCTGTAAAGTTTATAGTCATAGATAGTCAAAAAATAAATTTTTGGGATGGAGATTTACTACACGTACATGATGATGATTGTTACTATGCTGCTTATATTGAACTCAAAAACTTTACATAAACAAAGTAAAATAAAACTAGACATGGAGAAATGCATGCAAGTAAAAAGTCCCAACTCCCATATTCAGTAGTTCAAAATCATAATTTAAATTAACTTTTCCTTAAAAGAATATTTCGAATTTGTTATTTTAATTAAGTAAACAAATGGGCATGCTATTGTAGTTTCCTAAATGTTTTATTTTCAAAACCAAACACGTATTATGTCCAGATCATTTGAATATTTATTGTTTCTGTAGTTTGGATCTTTTATGTTTTCTATATATTTGCATGTAGCATTGTTAATCTTTGAACTTAAATCAATAAGATAGTATAGTTCTTAATTAGATTTGACCTAGAATTTGCAAACGCATGCATGGCCCTAGTAGCTTAAGCATACTTTTCCATCACTTGCCTAATTTTAAAAGAAATTAAGTTCTATCGTTTCATCGGATCCAAGAAAAAAGTTTGGGTATTGCAATCATCAAACTCATGAATTTTATATTTAGACCATCTCCAGTAGGAAGGCAAATTTCTCCTTCTATATTTTTTCTACATCACTTTATTCTTCTTCCATATCATTTCATTTTTTTATTTCACACACAACTCTACAATAGAAAGGCAAATCATTTTCTCTTTCCTCCAACTCATTTTCTCTTTCTTCCACATCACTCCATCATAAAAAATTCATTTTATATTTATTTATTTTATCTTTATTATTTTATTTATGTTATACATTTTATAAATACTATTACTCCTAATATATTTATAATCACACAATATTAATATTATTTTATATATCTAATCTATTTTTTTAATTAGAGTTGATTAATATTATAAAAATATAATTATATAATTATTTCTAAATAAATAAACAACACTCGTTATTATTAATAAAGACAAACCAAACATACATAATTCATTAAAATCTTACAACAAAACAAACACCAAACATTAATAAACTTAGAAATAAATTTTGATATTTCTAACTGAGGGTTGCTCCGAATTTTTGCCAAATATGCTCGACAAGATCCTTCTTCAATTGAATATGTTGACCCCTATCACGTAAATCAGCTCTAACATGAATATCCGATTCTGACCGGCCTTGCACATGAACTTCAAATTGTGGTAATATTTGGGTGTCGACGTTGATCGAGGAGCTTGATGCAGAATTGTTTGAAGGTTCGAAATCGATATTTTCCCAGTTTCGCGAATATGTATCACGTTCATCCTCTACTATCATGTTATGTAAAATAATGCCGACCCGCATTATTATACCTAATACCTCGATATCCCACATTCTAGATGGTTGCCAAACAATAGCAAATCGTGCTTGGAGAACACCGAATGCTCGTTCCACGTCCTTCCTACATGACTCTTGTTGTTTGGCAAACAATTGTGCTTTGTCGCCTACAGGAATTTGAATTGACTGAACGAAGACAGGCCATTTAGGATAGATTCCATCGGCAAGATAGTATGCCATATTGTATTGCCGACCATTTACGATGAAGTTCACCTCCGGGGCTTCACCAGAAATGAAAAGAGAGTGTTTAAACTTGAGATTTTTTTTGGTGTCCAAATGATATAAACGTAGTCTTTATATATAGATGTTAAAAAATAAAAAATAATGGTATAAATTTTTTTATTTATTTTTGATCAATTATTGAGCAAAAATAGCATAAGAAGAATGGAAAAAAGAAAATAAATAAAATAAAACAGCGAGCGAATCACAAACTGCCACGTCAAAAATTATGTGGGAACCGTCAGAATTTTATGGAAGGCAAAATTTGCCTTTGTCGATTGAGTTGGCATTTTGCCTTTTGAATTTGTCTTCCTATTGAATGAAAATACACCATATTTGCCTTGCTATTGCATTTGGTCTTAGTGATCCCATGACACTCATTATTTTCTTTACTAGTATTAGTGTAGCTAGATAGTACTCTCTGTTCTTAATAGTTTGATGTTTTGGGATTTTTTCTTGTTCCACAAAGTTTGATGTTTTGTAATAATATTATTATTACTTTTAATCTTAACCAATAGGAAGAGTAGAGAAGTGAAACTAAAATTATTAAACAAACAAACAAATAATTAAATAATATAAAAATTAGCTTTTCTTAATTTATGTGCAAAACTCAAAACATCAAACTTAAAAGAACAGAGGGAGTATTAAAAACAGATTTGTATGATCGAGCTTGATTCACTACCAATGAACCTTACCCTTAAACTCTACATTACTCGACTTCATTTGTAATATCTCTGGATTTTCAATGGACCCGGCCTACACTGAATTAATATATGGCTCTAAACTTAGAATTGAAATCAAAAGTTATGATATTGGTTAGGAATATAGTATAGTTACTATACATAAGAAGAATTAAATTGTCAAATATTGTTGGTGTATCATACTTAATTAGGACCCATGAGATTGGCGCATTGCTTTAGTTTTTTTTTTTTTTTGGTTCAAAGTCATTATCATATTGCACGTTTGACCTTGGTTTTGGTTATTTCTTTCTACAAAACGATCGGCAATTCTATATTAGTGCGAGTATACATTAAATTAGAATATGACACAAACATTGAGACAAATTATAAAATAGGATGAAATTTTCTTCTCGTGATCGGGAAAATAGGGTACAAATTACAATAACATAATGGCCATATGAATTAAAAGACCCATGAACATGCACATGCTCTTGTTCCCTACCCCTCTCATGGGTCCTGAATTTAATAAATTCCTCCCACAAAATTAGAGCGCAAAAGAGGTCAAATTCTACTATTTGGAAGCATCAACGACTTACATAATTTTGATGAGACTTCTAATCTATAATATGAATAATATATCTAATGATCTATCAACCAATAACAATAAGAACCATCAATAACTCGTAAGTCGTAACAAATTGTACGTGTGTAACAAACATCCGATTATTAAAACTGTTAGACTAAGTTTATATCCTCTTTTGTAAGTGTATCCTAATCACTTCTTCTTCTTTTTTTTTGCAAAATGAAAACAAACTATATGGGTTTGAAATTAGGAAAACAACATATTTTTGGAGAGATGACTTAATTAATCTTGTAAAGCCGCCACACATATAATCATCGTCAGTTTAAAATATGACAGATTACGGACCACATGTCCCAAAAAATTAGGATACAATTTATGACGAAATGACAACAAACCAACTTTAGTTTCTAGCTACTACTTCTATTTTTGTTCATTAATTAAAGACTTCGTCTAAAAGTCAATACATAATCAGATTCTTGAAACCAACGAACACTTCTCGTGTTAACAAGAATTTGATTACTACTACCAGTATGTGACTTGTTAATATAAATTTGAAGTTACTTCTACGAGTATGGCTTGAAAGATCCACTTTGGCATCCATAATGCATTTGTTACCGTACGTGTTTTGGAAGATTTAACTCAGAAAAATATATAACGATATGGATTCTTTTTTTTTTTAACACCAATAACGATATAGATCCAAGACATTATTTTCTTTCTGCAATAGATTCTCTTCGAAAAGATCCATCGTAGAAAATTGAGCAATATAATGTTCCCTAAATTTAGCTGAAGATTTTCCACTACTACTAAAATAGGTCCTATGATTTTTCTCATATCTTCATGAATACTAGCAAATACTACTTTTGAGAACCTCTCTTCACTTGTTAAGTAACTTTAATAGCTCGATTCATTTTGTAAACGTTCTTGTAGTGAGTAAATTTAATTAGTGTTATAAAATCATGCGTCTAGGCATTTTGAAAAATCAATTTTTTTTTGTTTTGTGCAAAAGAAATCAAGTTAATAAGTACTTTTTTTTTTGTCAACTTCAAGTTTATAAGTCCTTAATTGTCATTTATAGTGCCCATACAATAGCATTACAAGAGTTAGGAAGACAAGGAAACGCAAGTACTAGCCTTTTTTTTCACAGAGTAGAATAAAAAAGCTAACTTTTTATTACTAGTACGTAAATAGAAAACATAACAACGAATTATTCATTTTGGATAAAACTATTATAATAACACACACAAGAAACGACAAGAAGCATAGTAGGGATCAAAACACATGTACATGTACACACACCTACATACACATTTATATGTATGCACATATCAAGTTGTGATTGCTCATCAAACCGACAGACACATGTTGGGCAATAAATATGACACAAACACAGAGATTTTGAAGTTTCCTCTCTTTTGGTCACATTACAAATTTTGTCCACATCTTAGTAAAATAATACTATTGCCCTATATACCCATCAAGTATTTAAAATTACAACACACATATATAGGTGATAGCCACATAAAATCATAAAAAATACATATAAAATCATGAACCCGTCATATTGTTGATCATTGATAGTTGTTTTTTATTACTTCAATATCTGTTCTTGCAGTACTTCTCCATTGCTCTCGGAGCTATAACCAAGAAAACAGAATTGAATTTTATTAAAAGAAAAAGAACTGGTCAAAGTTAAGAGAAAATCAAAAGAAAAAGTTAGAGATGTACCAAGTCCAATTGCTTCAGATCCCTTCATAATGCGCAAACGTTTGCAGGACTCGACAAACATTCTGAAATAGGTATTCAAGTTTACGGTTAGAACATTAGTATATGAGTCGTTAACATTTAAAGTTTATTCTAAGGTTTTTTAGGCAATAATGTGGTGAGAAGAAATTGATGTGCCAGCTACAAATGAGCTCTAAACTTGTTGATACTATTGTATAATTTTGAAAGATCCTCTTGTCTCTTGCCAACCAATGCATGGTTGTACGTATTTATAACACATGGGTGTTGAATATCTTTGGCTTTGTCTCTACCAATTTCGGAAATGTGGTTAATGAGTCAGGTTATAAGTAAAAAAATAAAAAATGAAACGGTATAGTGATTAAATTTGACTCACTCCCATGGGACATCGCCGACGAGCATCCAATCACCATCTTTGTCCTCGTAGCTTGGGACATACTCAGAACTATTCAGGAGATTCATGAGCTTGCTCTCGTTCATGAAATCTATCATTCCTTGTGCTCCATAGTTTCCTTGAAATTTATTCAAGACATTCAAAAATCATATAAATTTATGTGCTTATATCATTATATTTATATATACTACATAGTTAAAGCGTACACATTTACTTGTTAATATGTATATGATGCGAATGTATAGTTCTATCTTGGTAAGATTCATAATTTTTTTTAACATTTTACCAAAAAAAACAAAAAAAGATTCATTAAATTTGTATGAATAAATGTGTAAATAATATATCTTGTTATATACTAATTTAGTTTTTCCACACTTTTCGATGTGAAATTTCTAACACGTACCCATAGTGAAGGAGCTGAACATTTTGGCCAAGGCATCAGAGAGATCCTGGTAGCTTTTGTACATCTTGAGGTCAACTTTCCTCAGATAGGGAGCACCGTCCATGGAGACCTTCACCAAGCCGGCTCCGGCCGCTCCTCCACCGCCGCTCCCGGCCTTCTCGCTGCTGGCCTCCTCCACGCCACTGGTCTTTTGCTGAGTCATCATGTTCTTCCTGTAGTTCCTCACAGGTGGCCATCCCACCACTTGTGCTCTACATATAATAACATTATTTATACATAAGTAAATCAAACAATGTATTATTTATACATAAGTAAATCAAACAATGTAATTATTAGTTACCATTACAGACCATATTGGCTTGATTATAAGATGTATTATTTCATTTTTGCTTGTACGCATGTATGAATTGGTGTTTAAGTATCAACCACTCTTTAATTATTATTATATTATTTTCTTAGTATTATATTGTGAGAAAAGAAATTTAACTTCAAAGTTATGCATATAAAACAATCTAACCAAAAACAAAAAGGTGTATGTATATGGGAAGTATATATATATATTTAACATTACAAATTTTAAGAACTTTTAGTTTGTTCGTATGTTTTATGGAAATCCCTCACAACATTTTGTACTCTTGGAGGACATATATAACTATGAAATTTATATAGATTGAAATCTTCTAAGAACTTAGACTTATATATATGTAGATGTGTATAAACATGTCTACATAGATTGAAATCTTCTAAGAACTTAGACGTATATATATGTAGATGTGTATAAACATGTCTCTGTAGATTGAAATATTCTAAGACTTTTTAAAATATATATATATATATATATGTAGATGTGTAGCTTACTTAGTAGGAGGCTTAGAAGGATCTTTGAGGGTAGTCTTCTCCTTAGGAGCTGCAGCGACGTTGTTGAGATCGACGGAGCCTTCTTTGTTAGATTGAAGATTGAGCATAAGATCAACGGTCTCGGAGAAGCCTCTCTTGCTTCCCACCGCCGATTTGGCCGGACTCTCAACGGCTTCAGCGCCGCCGGGGAGACCAAGACAGAGCTCCGTCGCCTTGAGGTTCATAAGTTGTCCGATCATGTTACTTGTAATAGATTGGAAATATTTTTTCTCTCTCTGAAAAGGTAAGAGGGGAAGAAGAAAGGAGAGGAAGGGGCAATAATAATATAAAGAGAGAGGATGATGGTGGGGTGTATGTATTCGTGTAATTGCATGTGCATGTCCTTTGCTCTCTTTTTTCTTCATTGGTGGGGTTTATGACACGTGGGCTTGATTAGATGTTAGTTAATCACTTATTATTCTCTGTTACTACAAATTTAAGTTGAGATAATTTTGTTTAATTAATCTTCCAGCTAGAAAGTTTTGACTGGTGACCGGGAATTATGTTTTAACTACGAGGAAGCTCACATATTGATTAGGATCTGTAGTGTTAGTGATGTTTTAATGTTACTATCCGAATTCAAATATGTATGAAGCAAGTTATTACATATTGACAATATATATATTAAGATTTTGGTGTGATCATAATAGAAAGATGGGACATATTTCTCTCATATCGTACCAATTTGAAGAAAGAGATGATCGATGAGAATATTGAGAGAAACATATCTCTCACATCTTACCAAAATTTACATGTAATGTTTGCGTGAGTTTTCGTATCTAATAGTTGACTAAACCAATATGGGTCTCTGACTCTGACGTAGTACTTTCATCGAGAAATCTTCCTAAATACTATAGCACATTAGATCACATATATTGGTTTGTATAATTGTGTTCAGCATTTTTACTTTGAAATATGTATACACGAAACTACAAAAAAAATTGTATTCTTCTTCTCGTACGGCTCTGTCATTAAACATACATTAAAGTTCACTGTGAACTCATCATCTATTCTGGAGTTTAAGGATATATATATATATATATATATATATATATATATATATATTAATATTGAGCATGTCTATATACTTCAGAGTATATATAAGTAAAGTCATATAGTTTGTTTAGATTTGTAATTGTTGGGTCAGGCCATGTAGTTTTAGATATTTTTTTAAAAATATGATATTTAAATTTAACTAATAAAAAACTTAAAGCTATAAAGAATTTTGGAAAAGGACACCCAAAACAGCATCCACTGGAGAGACATTAAAATTCTTTTTTAGAAAACTAAGCAATAGCACTTAGAGCTTTTGGCTGACTCTATCATTTTTCTTAAATCGAGAGATTAGGAACCCGAAGTCTAGACTAATTCCCAAAATTTGTGTAAAGCCGGATACTTTAAATAGTTAAGACGTCAACAATAACAATTAATAGCAAATTATGATTTTGCAATGGTTTTTTTTTAAGGGACTTCCGATAAAATTATGGCCTTGTGCAAAGATGACAGGCACGAATCGAAAAATGGTCCAGATTTTGCAATGGAAGAATTTGAACTCTGATTTTGTAATCTCATATAATGAATTTCAGCTGGTTCTATCACTCTATGTAGCTTTAGTGTTTCAGCATTTGTAGTATAACTCTATGAGTCAATCTAATTTTTTAACCATGCATCTTCCTCTCCCCAAAATTATCAGAGTAGATTTAAAGCTAGCTAGCTTGAGTACATATAACTAGGTAGTTTATAATACTATAGTATGAAACGAATTCAGATTGTTTGTTAAAGAAGAAAAGAATAACTTCTGTCAATATGTCTATATATAAACTATGAATGTACTAATTACTTCTATGTTTTGTTAATAGCCTATTTGTTACACATTGTCTCCTCTGGTCAACTGTTCATCGCATATAAAGCAAGTGGAATTGGGCGGTGAAATTCTGTTAATCAAATTGGTCAACATTCTAATTAGTTTGTGTTGACTGTCGAGCAATACAACTATACAAGTCATGTATATTAATTTAATTGAATGAATATGGTCTCCCGTTTTTTTCTGTATCATCTTGGTTATTAAATGTGTCTTAAATGTTATTAGAGTATTAAATAATACTGGTAAATACTAAAAAATTAAAATAAAATAATAGTACTACTCATAAAAAATGCTTAGACATTTGTGGTATATAAACAGAGAATCTATTAATTGGTCTAGGTTCATGTTCTAAGTGAGGACACTGAGTGAAGACTGACGTCAATCTTCGTCTTCCCAACACAAAAATGACTTAATGCTTCTTCTTTTTTCTTATTTATTTGAGAAATAACAGACTTGTAATTTACAGATGAAATCAAGGGCCATTGCATCATGGCTGACAAGACTGAGGAAAGTTCCTGCGATTACCGGATACTTAATTTTGTGATCCGTTATATATATTTGATGCGCAAACTATCGAGTGAAAATATGTGAAATTACATAGTTTTCTTTTGAAAGAATTAATAAGACCTAAACATTTTACTTAAAACTTTAGCATTAACTTGTTATATTTTCCTATTAATATAACATTTTAAGCCTACTATTATTATGTATACGTACCTTTAACTCTTTTTGCGTATTCAAAAGATACACGAAATTTTATATACACATAGCATATGAATCGAAGCAGATATTCAGACTTTAAAATTTTAGTATATTCAGTTCTATTTTACAGGGATACAATATAGTAGTAGTAATTAATTAGCAATACATAGTCGCTGACGTTTTTCCAGTGAGTGGGACGTGGCTTCATGAACTCAAAGCTCATTGAAAATCTATCCTATAGTTAGTTACACGTGCACATACACATTGTAGAAACTTGGATTTTGAAAACGAAGGAGATAATTGTGTACCTTTCATAAAACTGTCTTTTGGGGAAAAAATGATTATGAAAAAAAAATACCTCTTTATTGAAACCATTTGGAATTTTTCTAACCACCATAAAATTAGACGAAACATCATTTCGTGAATAGTTATAACTCGCCAAATAAACATTTATCGTATATTAGTCATCTTCTTTCACGAGTGGCCGTAATCTTATGAATTGGAAACCCACCACTGATTTTTTATCCGGTTCAACCGGCAAGATTGACATGTTTAGCTACCTTTTAGTGATTAGAGTTTTATGAGTTCTTGTGATCAAGTGTTGATTCGAAATCTAAAAGAAAAAATTATACACTACATTCATTTTATTATTCCATAATTAATTCCCATTTATAATCAATTTTATAGAGCAAAAAGTATTATACACTACATTAGATCTGACTTTTTGTTATTACTCATAGAAAACTTGCCGTAACTCCATGAAGAATCTAATAAGAGCATTGTACTAACGAAGCTAAAACCATTTTATTAATATATACCGTAAATTACATATGTCTAATTTTTAGCTACTTGAAAACATTTCCAGAAGGGAAATTACAGAGGTTGTTCATTTATTATAAATGTCAGCATGAAAAACGACTTAGGGAACTAGTAAATCTGTATATTTCAGAGACTGTTTGACCATATAAAAAGGGATATGTACATCAGTACATGCATGTCTGAAAAGATACCATTTAATTATAAATAGAAATATTCCAAAATTTCGAAGTCAACATTCCTTAAAATAGTTACAATTTTTTTTTTTTTTAATAGTTACAAACTTACTAGAATACTCCACTGCTACGAGTTATCGTAAATGATACACTGCTAATAATTTGATTTTTGACCATCCTCTATGAAGTAGTGAACATCTTCATGAATTTCCGTGAAATGGCGAGGGAGGAAACTCATGAAATTATCAATTGATCATCATTCATCAATATTCCAAATTAAATAGATATACATAATTTAAGAAAAATTGTTCCCGAAACTTCCAATCATGTAAAGCCACATGAAAAAATACCATAATTCCACGGAAAATGCGGATTAGTGAAAATATTTATTTGCATGTTTATAAATTGTTTTGAGGTCGTCTAATTGTTTGTTAGTTAATCATTAGATACCAAAAGAATAGAAACACTCGAAACACAAATTGGGCCATTCACAGTTAATAAAATATCAATGGCACATGGATTAGACAGGTAACATATTTTTAAAGATCAATTATGCCCATGGTTTTGCTTTAATTGCCCAGAAATATAAAGCCTAGTCAGTTTGTGTAATTTATCCGTATATCAAATTTCTACATGAGTCATGTTAGCATAATTATCTCTCGTTCTCTCATAACCCGTAAATCTCGAGAGGACATGAATTTGTAGATTGAAAACCAAGTGACAATGTATTAAAAACGCAGTACACGAAATTGATTATACTTTAAAATAACAACGATGAAAATTTGGGTAAAAAAGGTAAAAAAGAGAGGTGACAATGTATTAAAAACGCAGTACACGAAATTGATTATACTTTAAAATAACAACGATGAAAATTCTGAAATTAAACTGTTACATGACTAATGAGATCATCTCTAATACCTTAATGAAAAAATATCTAAAATACACATTAAAAGTACCTAGTCTTTAAGCTTTAAGCATAATACCCTACAATATAGCAAATATTTGTTTTGTTCAGTTTGTTATATTCTAGCGGGTACGGAATATGGTTTGATTTGATATGAGTACGAATAGCAATATTACATTTATACATAATTAAAAATCTGAAAATTACCAAAATTATCCAAAAATACTGAAAATTTATTTGAAATTACCTAAATGATCATATTCAAAACTAATTTTATTTTATTTTTAGTGAGAATTCAAAACTAAGTTTATAAATGTTTAAACAATGGTTTTTTCTATACTTATAATACAAATTTAAATATTTAAACTATCCATATTTAACTTTTTCTGGCGTTACTTGATCCCATACTCCAAATTAAGCCTAGTTTTTTTTTTTTTTTTTTCAGTGGTTCAGAACATCTCTCTTTTTTTTTTTTTTTGCTAAATGGTAAATATTACATTGATAATGAAAACAGTTTAGGTTACAAACATTGAATTTGAAACCTATACATATGGATCCATGGCAAAAAAGAAAAAAAACATGGAAGCATAAAGACGGTTAATTAAAACCAAGTTTTTTGTCCATCTTCTCAACCTTGCGATGAAGCAATGGGAAAAGATGAAGCGATGACATTCAATTCTTTCCTTCCCGCATGAGATGCAAAAGCAGAAGGGCTAATACTGATTGTGAAACACCAAATTGCGATGGACCAAAAGCTTTAGAAGCCTTTCGCTTGAGGCCCGAGACTGAGCCGTCAACGGTTTGAAACTCCAAAGCAACGATCACATACTCTCCCTGCGACATGTGAGATCAAATCTTCGTTCCAATCCATGAGCTTTCTCAAAGCATAACCTCACA